TTGAAATTATTTAAATTTTATTAATATAAATTAAATTTTATTATACCATTTTATTGTCTAATTTATTTTTTTCACCTCGTATTTTTTGATAAAATTAACAATTTAGAACATAGATAATATTACATTATAAAATCCTCTCAGTCACAATTTTATTATAGCATTGAAAAGAATGTTGGGAAATTCCACAGGCACAGAAGCTTCGTGTTAAAATGTTGTAACATTAATAATTTATTATATTGAAGAAATAATTTAATGTGGGTGGAATATACAAAATTGAAGTCGCTAATTTTACTGTGGAAATCATAAAAATAAAAAAAGTTAATATTATGAAAAAATTGTCACTAAAAATTACGAAAAATCTCCAATTAATTATTGAAAATTAGGCAAAGGGTCTTTTAAGGCATAAATTTAATTAATTCTGCAAGATTTTTGTGTATCCTTCTATAAAAACAATTTAATTATTTGCCTTGCATAATTATCCTTTAGCAGCCGATTATAATTTTTTGTGTGGTTAAGTTATAAATGCACGTAAAATTCAATTCGTTTTCAATTCACAAAAAACATTTTTTGTAATTTTTATCAGCTTAATTAATGAGCAATTATTTTTCGAAGCTACGCAAAAGCGAGCTGCTTATTAAGCAATACAGACCCTCGAAAAATCTGGCACATGCTGGTTTCAGGCGCGCGCCACTAGAGATCAATATATTATGTACTGAATGGCGAGAGTGGTGTGGTGAACATCCACATATCTACTCGAGCCAACGCTGTGTGCGGCTTTTTTCCACTTTGCATTCGCAAAAATGCGGCTGGAAACAATTTCAATGAGCCGCGCAGCCCCAGCAGACAGACATTATTACCAACATCCTCCACAGCCCTGCCCGACGGGTGCTCCACTCCAGCAGCCGAGATATGAGTATCCATCCCGCCATTAAAAATGCTGCGAGTGTGTTCGTCGGTTCGGCAGTACAAGGCGAAAATGGAATATTTGAGCAATCGTTATTAATCCGGAGCGCCAACCCCGTTTTTGTTCCGCGAACGATGAAAAAAAAAGAAAAGTGGTAATTGTCAATATAGAGCTTATTTTTTTTTGTATCAATTGCGCGCCGAGTTCAAAAGCCGCGGCCGACGGCACTTTGAGCAAAAAGCGAACAGTCGTTTGTCACCGAGTCAGCCATCAATCACAATATGGACGCACTCAAGGCAACAAATGCGCAAAAAGTTGTGGCGGACGCAAAAACAATTAGGGCCTTCTTGCCGCTCGCTCGCTCTCACACACGTGATTCACGGTGTCAATAAAGTAATAGCGGGATAAATCAAACCCTCCTCCACATGATTTATGGTGCTAAGCGGGCACTGAGCCTCGCTTTATTGAATTTTATGGCCGCACACGCGTCAAACGCGCCCCAATATATGCAACACGCATAAAAACATCGCTCCGGAATCAATAAATGGGTGACACATTTACTTATGAACGTGACGCGTTTACTGCTTCCTGTCCATCTTCCTGTCAACTGAATTTTGTATTTCTTTTTTATATTATTCAATTATTTATCATAATAGTTTCTATTATTTGTTGCGTGAAATTATGATATTATAAAGATAAAATGTAAAATGTTTGACCTCATAGCAATATGATCCTATGGGATTTAAAAAATTTCAATGGTTTTACAGTTGAAATTTGATTTAATGAATTTAATCTGATTTAATTGTAAGTAAATGCTGATGCAAGCTGATTTAATTTAATGAAATGAGTCAAATTGAGCGTTAGATATTAAAAATAATACAACTGAAAATCATAATATGAAAGAAATAAATAAAATTAATAAAAAATAGATTTAATTTCTTAAAAAAAAAAAAATGGAAAGTTTTAATATAATTTTTAATAATAAAAAAACGGTAATTTTTCTTCGCTTTATTTATTTTATTATTTATAATTAATATCTTTGTCTTGTTAGCGGGACTTTATTTTAACTATTTATTGTTTTAAAAATGCAATGAATTCAAGAGGGTTTTTTATTTACATAAATTCGCAACCTACATTGAAATCAAACCGGTTTAATCTCTCCCGAATCCTCTTTTCCGTGGAGCACAAATGATAACAGGCCGGCACTGAGAGTTGCATCTCCTGGCAAATATTTTTCCCTCCTTTGTTTGCACTGGAGATTATATGGCTTTGGCTCGGCGCGCGCCGAGTGTGTTGATGTATGGATCTGTTTTGCCAGCTTCTTCGCCGCGCATTCCGCCCTTTCGACCTGCACATGGAGGAGTAATTTTTATTCGTCGCGTTTCTTGCTTTCTCGGTGTGTCTTGCGAGATAATTTATTTTCCACACTCGCGACCTGCTTCTCATACGATCTGAAACGAGAGTTTTCTTTGCTTTGTAACAAACATTATTACTGCGATTTTTCCATTTTTCATCTTTCTCGTTAAATCCTGCGCTCTCGCGGGAGAGCAAAGGAGAATGATGATGAATTATTAATGGGGAAAAATTTGTAACCGACTCGGTTGGTGGAATTGAATTATCTATACGATCATCTTGTGGGAAAGAGACGCTGGAGTGTATATTATGCATGAGATTTCTTTTCTTGCAGGTGGGATTAGCAAAAAAAGGAGTCAATTTAATTACACCGATCGTAAATCTGCCAACATTATTAAAAAAATGAATTAAAGCCCCAATCTTCTAGCAAAAACGTTCAGGTGGGAGCAATGAATGTTTGGAAAATGAACGAGCCTCCGTCGCAGTTAAACGAAATTTATGCGCAATTATTCCTGCAGGTTGGATAATATTTCCTTATGAATCTCGCCGTTTAATTTATATATAAACACTTAAACGTTATTCTTGCTGAGAAGAGTAACAAAGGTTTTGTTTCACGTTTATTTTCTTGTTCGCTCGTAAATACTAGAAAAAGTTTGCAGCCGTCGTTTTTTTTTGTCGTGAGCGAGAAAGCGTTATTAGCACAAACAGGCTGCAGTCGAGTGGATCTGCGGTGGCAAAGTTATTTTCATTAGTTTCGCTCGAATTGTCTCGCTCGCGGCTGCGAAACAAGCGGATTGTTAACTCTCCTAATTTCAGCACCCTGTGTTCGCATCTCGTGATTTTATCTCCTCTCTCTCTCGACGAAAATGTGCTTTGGCCCGGCTTGATTTATCATCCGAGTGTGTGGCGTGTGCAGCGCCTGTTAAGAACTAACTGCTCCCGGTCGCCGAACACGCCCGGGAACTTTCAGCGGCAGAAAGCGGCGCCTGGTCCCGAACAATTTAACAACGTGTCGGGAATAGTGAGCTGCTCAATTAGCGCAAAATCTTCTGTTGGCTCCGACTTCACTTGCTGCGAATTTTCCCGCCGTCTCTTTCATTGTCAAAGTTCTGATGATTTCTATTGTTTATTTTGCCAAGTTCATTTAGAAATTTAACTTTCACCAAAATTTAAATTTGCATTGATTGCTTAAATGAATAGAAATGAGATTTTTTTTACATTCAAGTTGCAGAGTTGCTAACTCATATTCAACAGACTTTTAACAGACAAAAAATGTCTGTAAAATAGTTTTATTTAATCAGTTGCAAATTATATTTATTGATATATCACATTAATACAAATATGGGAACGTTGGCACATCAAAAGTAGATTATTTTCATAACATAATTCTTCCAATTTAAGATAAGGTGATGTGTTATCAGGATAAATAATAAAAAAAAATAAATAGTATATTAAGAGCAATACAAAAAAAATATTATATCAGTCAAAATCAGACAAAATACACAAAATAAAAATTGTTATAGTAAACAAAATATTAAATTAAATATATAAATGTTAAAAATATAACTATAATTTAAAAATTGAATAGAAATCAAAAATTTTATTATTCATTAAAATAATTTATATTATTTTAAATTGTAATGTAACATTATGGCAAAATCTTCTTTTGGCTCCGACTTCACTTGCTGCGAATTTTCCCGCCGTCTCTTTCATCGTCAAAGTTGTGATGATTTCCATTGTTTATTTTGTGAAGTTCATTTCGAAATTTAACTTTCACCCAAAATTTTGCTTCGAAACTAATTGAATACAAAATTTCACAGTTCAAAAATTTCAGCAGTTTATCAGGCAAACAGTACAAAATTTTAATTATATAACATTTTCTTCCAATCGAAGAAACTTGTTTCCCAATTGATTCAAAATAATTAGAATAAGTATAGAGGAGACATAGTTTATTCATTAAAATAGTTTATGTTATTGTATATTGTAATGTAACTTTATGGCAACATGAACATTATGGCAAAATCTTCTGTTGGCTCCAACTTCACTTGCTACGAATTTTCCCGCCGTCTCTTTCATTGTCAAAGTTCTGATGATTTCTATTGTTTATTTTGCCAAGTTCATTTAGAAATTTAACTTTCACCAAAATTTAAATTTGCATTGATTGCTAAAATGAATAGAAATGAGATTTTTTTTTTAAATTTAAGTTGCAGAGTTGCTTAGTCATATTTAACAGATTGTTAACACACAAAATATGTCTGTAAAATAGTTTTATTTAGTTGCAAATTATATTTATTGATATATCACATTAATTATGAATTGAAAATATGGGATGAACACATAATCATAGCAAAAGATTGTATTTCCATTCTTAATTCTTCCAATTAAAGATGAAGCGATGTGTTATCACAATAAATAATAAAAAAAATAAATAGTATATTTAAAGCGATACAAAAAAATATTATATCAGTCAAAAACAGACAAAATACACAAAATAAAAATTGTTATAGTAAACAAAATATTAAATTAAATATATAAATGTTAAAAATATTACTATAATTTAAATATTGAATAGAAATCAAAAATTTTATTATTCATTAAAATAGTTTATATTATTGTATAATTATTTTAATGTAACATTATGGCAAAATCTTCTTTTGGCTCCGACTTCACTTGCTGCGAATTTTCTCGCCGTCTCTTTCATTGTCAAAGTTCTGATGATCTCTATTGTTTATTTTGTGAAGTTCATTTCGAAATTTAACTTTCACCCAAAATTTTGCTTCGAAACTAATTGAATACAAAATTTAACGGTTCAATAATTTCAGCAGATTATCAGGCAAACAGTACAAAATTTTAATTATATAACATTTTCTTCCAATCGAAGAAACTTGTTTCCCGATTGATTCAAAATAATTTGAATAAGTATAGGGGAGACATTATAGATTTCCATTTTTTTTTTTAAATTTTTTATTGCCAAAAATAATTTAATTAATTTCAAAGGATAAAGAGAAAAGTTACTGTCGCAATTTGATCCTTGTGCTTGTGTATAGATTCTCAGCGCTACATTCTTTAAGCTTTTGCAGAGAATTACTGCACATTTTGTTGCTTTCTGCGTGAAAAAAATTATCCGAATTAGTTTTCCAAAACAATAAAAATACTAAAATAGTTCTTACTCCACTTTGTAAAAACGTTTGAAGGTTCTAGATCTGCCACAGAAATTTCCTCTAAGACGTTCTATTGTTATTTAAGTGTCAGTCGCAAATTAAAATTTATAATAAATTATTTTTTTAATTACAATCCACGATTTCTGGATGATGCACTGGGTTGCCAGAAACCACTTCGGGTCGCACGATTTCTTATTATTTTTGGACGCAATCTTTGGCAAACTAAGTTCTGTAAATGACACATATGTATTTAAAAATACTCTCAAAAGAAATAATAACCTGATATCAGCGGCAGACATTGATCAATAATTCCAAATCTTTCGCTCCAAAACGGATCTTGAGCTTGGTCATTAAAAACTGCTTCGTCAAAAGCCGCTTCGTCATATGTCCCATCAGCATTTAACTTCAAGATTGAATTAAAATTTTACTTGAAAAAGTTTGATAAAAATACTATTCCTAATTGAATCATAAGACACTCGTAGACGCACTGCAATAAACGGTTATCATTTTTAGAAAAAACTTAAATGATGACTAGAATAATAATTAACATACGCTTTGTGAGGACATTTGGTCATCTTAAAAATTAATATGATTTTCATGTCTTTCTCTCTTTAATAAAAAAATACGTACTTGCATTTTTGAAGGACAGATCAAGGATATTTGTTTTCTTGTTGAAAAGCTTACTCAACATAAAATGGGTCATGTAGTTGGTCGTGTCTGCGTTTCCCTTGCAAGAACGAAAAGCAGCCTTGTATTCAGCACTCTTGTTGTCGAAGAGTGGAGCAAATTTTGGTTCATAACAATTGGCCAGACTCTTTAAAAAATAAATATAATTAATATAATTTTTGTCCAACAAACTAAAGTGTACTTTAAAGTCATGAGTGATGCAGGGTTGAGCCTTCTGGCCGAAAACCAAGCAAGTGATGGATAAAACGAAGGCAAAACACAGCTTCATTGCTCGCATAGAACTAACTGAAAAATTTTGAAATTGTAGAGAGTCTTTTAAAGCTTTTTCAAACGTATCTGCTTGCGGATGTGTCATTAAAATGGTCATGTTTCATGTTTTGTTAAAAAAAAAAAAAAATGAAGCGCGCCGACCTTGGTTGCTGTTGCGACTCAAAACTGGTACGCCTCTCATTTCATCTACTTCAATTTTACAAAATCAGAAACATGAAATGAAGTTTCGTTTCCAGACTCCAGGTCATTTTGATGTTAATTCCCATAACATAATAAAAAAAAACACTTTATTTTGGTTCAACTTGCATTTAGAGAGGAGGGGAATAATCCTTACTTTTATGGTGATTTTTTCTTCGATTAAATTGTTTTGAATGATTAAATTTTTTAAAATCACAAATTCTAGTTCAAAATTTTAATTTTCATTAGAAACTAGAAAAAAGCCGGTCAGGGTTACTTCATAACAGATACATCATGATGTCCCAGAAATTTTGCACACGTCATGTATGCACATAAATTAAAATAATTCCTCATTAGACCTGTGTCATGAGGCCAGTACAAAATCAGGTCAATTGAGAAACTGCGAGAAAAAAATGACTGTAGAAATTTACATAATTAAATTCAGACAGTTAAATTATACACAAGGAATAATACAAGCTATAAATATAAATTTTTGATTTTCAGATATCAATTTATTTATTGACCAAGTAAGAAGATGTAAAACTAAATAATACATTTCCAAAAAGAAAATTTACGTTATTCTTTTTACTAATTTTCATCTCAGGATATAATCAGAAATTATATCATTTTATATTTCCAATGTTTTCAATAGTTAAATTCTAGCTAGTAGTGTGTGGCAAATTGCGATTTTTTTTACAAAGTTTGGTTGCTTTTGAATTAAATTTATAATACAATATGTCATTGTTTGTTATTTATGCACATTTCAAGTCTCTCGCACTCTGTTAAGCGCGGATCTTTTTATAACTGTATTTGTGAATTCGCATTAATTTTTTCCTTTCCTTAAAATATTAAAACTAGTATTATTAGAATTAGATCATAATTATTATAATTTGCTTATTTCTTTCTTTGCCATGACGAGATATAAAAATAATGTGAATCGCCGCAAACTAGCTTTATTAATGCACAGAGAGGCAAGCGTGCGTTTAAAAAGTTGAAATTAAAAAAGTGCCGACTTGACGTTGTTGTGAGAGAGAGTTGGGTGACGTCGGGCTTGAAATGTTTAGCGGATGCCGGCGAGCGGCAGCCTGTGAGTGCTGCGTATGTACATGTGCAATAAAACACACAAGCCGAGTGTGGCCAGCATGGAAAACTTTTCTGGCGAAAGCAAAACGGCTCGCGCTGCTGGCAGTTTTATTTAGCGGCGCGCGGAAAAGTGACCAGGATATTTATCTTTGTGCACGCATACGAGAGGAAGAACATTCGCAAGCAAGCGAAAGGCCAGACAAGCAAGCTCGCCCAAAAGATACACAAGTTGAAAGCCCGAGAGAGAGAGAGAGAAAGCAGTCGAGAGCACTTGCTCGCCGCGCACACCCTCTTTTTGCCGCTTAATTTTAGGTGAGAACGCGAGACCTCTACACAGCAACTTCAAAGGGAAAATGTGTTTTACAAGAGATGTAAAAAGAGAATTCATAAGCAAAGACAGGGAGTGGCAGGAAATGAAGGAAGTTATATCGCTGAAGCTTAATTTTTCCGAAAAATAAACATTGACAAAACGTTATAAATAAAATAGGTAAATTTCATAATTATGCTTTAAAGATGCTAATTTTTGCTAATTTTCATAAGAAAGTGACTAACTTTTTCATGGTTGGTTGATCAAGCCGGCTAAAAATATAAGATGTATGAATAATAATTAAAAAGAGTATTTTTTTTTATAAATAATGTCAGAATTATTTTGCTAAATTTGCATTGATTGCTAAAATGAATATAAATGAGATTTTTTTAAAATTTAAGTTGCAGAGTTGCTTACTCATATTTAACAGATTGTTGACAGACAAAAATTGTCTGTAAACTGTAAAGTAGTTTCATTTAATCAGTTGCAAATAATATTTATTGATATATCACATTAATTATGAATTGAAAATATGGGAGGAAAGAAGAACTGATGTGTAAGAATTGTATTTTCATTACTTAATTCTTCCAATTTAAAATGAAGCGATGTGTTATCAGAATATATAAAAAAAAATCATAGTATATTTAAAGCAATACAAAAAAAAAATTATTTGAGTAAAAAACAGACAAAATACACAAAATAAAAATTTTTATAGGAAACAAATTATTAAATTAAATAATATAACTGTTAAAAATATTACAATAAATTAAAGATTTTAAAAATTTAATAGAAATAAAACATTTTATTATTCATTAAAATAATTTATATTTTTGTATATTGTAATCAATGTCCACTCATCACCAACAATGAAAAAAGATTTGATTGTTGTTTGAGCTCTCTGATTGGGTACAAGTAAAGTTGTACACAATCAGAGAGCTCGACAACAATCGAAATTTTCTGACGAGCGGACCTTGATTGTAATGTAATATTATGGCAACATGAACAGCTTAAACTAGAAAAAAGCCATTAACAAGAAGTAATAGCATTGGCTAGAGTGATCACACACTCGCCTAACAAGACAATAACCTACAGGGCCATTACCTCTCTGGCTGACCAGCTCACATTGACCACCCACGCACCAACGGCAGGGCGCATCAATCTAGTTTTTTTTCGCACGGGTAGCGAGTGGGTCTGCTGGCGACTCAATTTCCGCAAGTTATATCCACCACGGGTGGGAGACAAAGGAGCAAAAAGCATCACAGTCCGGTCCGGAGAGAACGAGATGCATTTGCGAGCACTTGACAAAACAAACCGGGCCGGCCCACGCAACGCCACGAGTATTGCGCGATTAATCACGTGTGCGTGCAGGCGAATCGATACACACTGCACTGCGATACAATGGCCAGTGGGGATGGCCGTTGCAGCTTTTGCTCCCTCGGGGAGAAAAAGGAAGGTTTAGTGATTTTCAATGGCCGAGTTGGCGGCGCGCCAAAAACGGAGGCGTGCACGCAGAATGAATTATTTCAAAGCGACGGAGGAATTCGCTCAGCTGCTCTCGCTCGCATAATTTAATATTTCCAGAATAATTGAACGGTGAAATGATCAACGTGCGCTGCGAATAAATTACTTATGCACGACGACGGCAGGCAGGTGAAAGTGTCGCGCGCGCCTGATGGCTCTTGAAGGCGCCACTTTTCGCGCGCACTGTTGTTTTGTTTTCTTTGTTTTCGAAAGCGAGTGAGTGCAGAACCGTAATTACGGTCCTCGCCCACCGCCTCGCATTTAGAGTTTAGAAGGGAATTATTTTTCGGTAATGGATGGGGCAGAGAAAAGCGTTGTACGGAATTCTATATTTAAGCAGATGTAACTGTGAGAAATGTGAGGTCATCAGCAAGTGTACTAGAAAATAAATAAAAACAAGAAATTATTTTTGAAAACTTCAAAAATATTTAAAAATTAAAATTATATTTAAAAAAATCAATTGATTTGAAAAATATAAGACAATTTCTCTTCTTTCATCGATTTTAAATGTTCTATCTAATTTAGTCTTTATTGTTACCGTGGATTTTCGCATTGAATTATTTTCTTATACCTTGACAAATCCACATAATTTTAAGTACAAGGAAATTCATTTCGTCATGCACATTTTGAAGAGTTCTTAAATGGAACAATTGCATTTTTGTCCTGACAATTATTATAAATTGAGTTTTAAATTTTAAACCTTAAAACCTTAATTTAAATCGAAATAAGGATAAATTTAATGGTTCAAAATGAACCTTAAAATATTTTTAAAATTATTTTCAATCTTATTTAAAAAATATTTGATTGAATTAATATCAACATTTTTCGTGAAGTCATCAAGACTGTCTAAAAAAGATACCCAAATACAATTGTACAATTGTAGTACAGTTCTACTGCACTAAATAATGATTTTAAGGATTTTATAGTAAGATAATTTGTTATTTAAGCTATACGACAACACAAATATTGTTCCAAACGCTTTTTATTCTGAAATACCTGTTTTGAGTTAAATAAATATATTTATTTCTCTTGTAAATATATGAAAACCATCAGCTAAAAATTATCGCAAAGCTGAAAGTCAAGCGTGGCACCAAATGGAAATAAATTCAATATTTTATCGAGCCTTATTCCGAGAAAAAAATGATAAACGACGCGCAGATGCCCCGGAAGGAAGCCGCGATAAAATACGACGTTGATACGTAAGCATTTGCCCATGTGCAGGTTTGTTTGCTTACGAAGAGACTGGGGTATACAACCTGCACGGCATGTGGGTCGCGCCGGTTGCGTCGTTCGACAGTCACGGCCGAATTCCAGCTGGGATTGCGATCGGCGGGGGCAATAAATTTGGCCACACAATGTGCACTCGGGATAAATTCGGGCTTTCCTATGTATACGTGCGGCCATTTGCATGACAAAGGATGGAGAGAGCGTGTTTTATTCGGCGGCTGTGCATGACTAACGTTCGCCAGAGTAACTCCCATATGCAAATTTCATTAAATCTTACCAAAGCTTTCAGCCGTGCTGGCTAAAACTCCGGCCACTACATTAGCCGCACGTTTGCCGCTGCGGTGGTTAAAACTTAAAAGTTCAGAACACTTTGATTCAACAGTATTAACTTATCCGAAATTATTAAACTATGTGTTAAATCAAATTTTGAACTTTATAATTGGAAAATCCTACGAGGTGATTTTTTGTTTATTTTCAAATAAAAACTCTTGAAATTCATTGATTCTGATAAAATTAAATCATTCTTTTACATTAAAAACGTCAAATTCTAGTCCAAGTTGAGATTTTTGTAAAGTTTTCTGTCTGTATTTTGATATTTTATGTAAATAAAATGCGACTTTAATTTAACTTAATTGAGAAAAAAATTCTTAATTTCTGCACATATTTTTAATATCACGAAACCTATTCCTTAATTTTATATCTCTCACGTTGAAAGAAATTGAAAAAAAAAAATGCTGTTCACCTGAGCACCAACAAGTCCGGCCTTCATGCGTGGCAGGTCGGTGTGGGACCACGCGCTGCTGGACCAGGGCGCAATCTTGCGCAGGTCTTCGGAAAAGCGAAAGTCGTCCAAATGATTATGAACGAACTTTCGGATGTTCCAGGGTAGGTCGTTGTGCCTGAAAATGAAAAAAAAAATTATATTTGAGGGTTTCAACTATTGAGTTTCTAGACCGACCCGTCGATAAGGGGCACCTCCTGCAGCAGTCTCTTGGCCGCCTCGATGCGCTCCTCGAGCGACGCGCCTGACTGCACTTTGAGGGCGAGTGGCACCCCCAAACCGGCGGCTGCTGCCATCGTGAGAACCAATATCACCGCCAGCCAGTGCTTGCTTGTCAGATCCACTGCAACAAACAGCAGAGAGAGATATATCGTCTCAGCAACCTCAATTCTTATCGGCACATAGTAGTTTTCGGGGCACACAATGCAATAACAAAAATGAAACCTTTGGTCCCATGGACATGTTTCTGGTTTCAGACTGACCAACAACAATCCAATTGATGCTCAATTTAAGAAATGTATATTTATTTGCGTCCCAACAAGGCTAAATAATACAGCTTTGTTAATATGTCATAACATCAACTAATGAATTTAAAGAGACTCTTTTTTTATGTTTGAGTAATTTTTAAAGTTAGCTGTAGTTTGTCTATAATAATCTAAAATCATTATCAGCATTATAATAATTGAGAATTTAAAACCCAAAGAAACCACTCGAAACGGGAAATAATTGAATTAGTACTTGTGACTAATCCACCTTAACGTGGAATTACGTTCCAAGACGCAAGATATTTGAGACAAAGCCGATGTAAAAAAGTTTGAAAATATTAAAAATGTTTATTATCACAACAGGAATTTTCTCACTTTTTTACACCGGCTTTGTCTCAAGTATCTCGCGTCTTGGAACGTAATTATTTCACGTCAAGGCAGATTAGTCATAAGTACTAATTTAATTATAAAAATTCAGTTTTAATTATATCTATATCATGCGATGTGATAATAATCTTGAAGCTTATTTATTCAGTTGTTCAATTTTTAAATATAGTTTTATATTTTTGTTTTTATCAATTGTAAGTAACGCAATGAAACAGGCTGGATCATATTAATTGCTTATGTTTTTTCATAGCTCTAACTCTGTGAGCCATGGATGCATATATCAAAATTTTACAGAATAAACTTTGAAATTTGGACAAATAATATCAAAATAATTTTTTAAATTTTTTAACACTGCTGCTGAAAGGAAAAATAATAAAAATTATGAAAATCACAAGTAAATATTATAATAACGTTAAATAGTAAGATTATTGACACTAAAATATAAATTTAAATAAATATCTTTTAATAAATTAAACATATTTAAAAAAATTTATAACATGCTTTTTGCAATGGTATATAAAGATTTGAGGTTACGGGCGTAGAGCAAATCGCATTCAATTATCTCGTCCATTACTCCCCGTCGAGACTCGAGCAGCAAATCCGAGGGGAATCCGATCCCGCACTCCACGATATAATACAGAAAAGTACATTAGCCAAGCCACAAAAATAAAAAAAGTCTTAATATTCTTTCGGCTATTAAAGCCGCCCCCATTGTTCTCGGTTTGCGGCGCACACTTGCTGGCAAAAAGCAGCAGCACGAACGCCGGCGGCTCGCTAACAGCTTCCCTCTGCAACGGGCACATATATTATCACATCGGCGGCCCGGGAGCAGCGAAAGTGTGTAATGCAGGCCATTATCTTGGCTCGCCTCCTCCCCGATGGCATTCCCGAACGCCATTAGCGCCACGCAATAGGTCAATTCAATTTATTGGAATGTTTAATTAAACGTTATCTTTTAGACTCTCCCTGGCGTGTCTGTGTGTAAGCGTGGCAGATTTATGCCTTTACAATTTAAAGCGTGCCTGCTTTAAGTGGACGAGATGGTATTTCATAATAATCCCGGGCATATAAAAACACGCGTCTTGTGCGCCGAGAGTGGGATGAGAAGCTGCTCGGCTCGAGGTGCAAACGCTCGCCTTCCTCTATATTGCGCTCATTTAGCGCGGCGAGCGAGCTTGATTTATTTAAATTAGGCGGCGAGCTCTAGACGGGGGAAGATTTTTATCTCAAAAGACCACCGCTTGCTGGAGGCACTTACAGTGTTAGAATGTTTACCAAGTTGCATTAGGGTGAAATTTAGATAAGTTATTCTGTAATTAACTCGTCTCATCAACAGAGAAGGGCAGATTTTTTTTATGAAAATTTAATTTAATTGTTAAAGTCTGAATAATTTTGTTTATTCATTAAGTGTCAGGAATAAAACACATTTTTTCCTCGATAGAAAATCATCTAAATTAAGCCAAAAAACGTTTTAACAGAATGCTAAATTTTCCCATGGTTTTGCCCAAAGCTGGACTCGATTCTGACAGTATCATAAAAATAAACGAGGCACATGTAATCCAAATGTTATCAAAAGTATGACTTAATTGGATTTAATTTTTAAAGCAGATCATGGAAAAAACTAAGTGATAAGAAAAAACCAAGTCAATTGAAGCTCACTGCAGAGGATGGGGGTCTTATTTATCTCAGAAGTTTTAGCAATCTTGCTACTGGTGGCGCCGTTTTGTCCGAAAATTCCTTACTTTTTTAAATAAAGTTTTCAACAATTGAATGTAAAAAAATTGGATGTAAATTTTTTGACAGTTTAACAACAATAATAATTAATTGTTGTGAGGATTTTGATGAAGGTTCAACATAATGAATCTGAAAAAAATTAGTTACTTAATAAAACCATCTAGGTAAAAATTTATTCAAATTATAAAACCATGTTTTATCTATATTTTAGAAAAGGCAAAATTTAGTTTTAAATAATATCCGAGCAATCCTTACAATATATTTCTTTCGTTTCTTTTTTGGCGGAAAAGTTCAGAGAGTAAAAGCACAATTCGCAGAACTCAAGGTGCGGTATTGCGAATATTTATTTTGTATTGTAAGCAAACAGAAGACTTGGGAAATTCATTTTAGCTATAAAAACTTCTCGTGATAATCAATTTTCAGCGGTTGAACGACCAAAATCGTAACAAAGCAAGTACATACGTGTCCGGGAGTGTTTGACAAGTTTTTATTTTCCTCCAGCTTCCATTAAAAAGGACGCGTGGGTTCGCTTACGTCACACTGCTGCAGTGCCATTTTCTGCATTCCGCCCTCATGTAATGCTTTTCCGCTGTTTTATCACCTCATTTTTTCTGCCCTCTGCCGGCAGCACCTCTGCGAAGGACCACTTCCTTATTCAGGTCACACGATCGTTTCCACGCAACATGAAAATAATAGGCGGTAAATCACACCTCGCCCCGTATGCAAGTACAACACGCAGATCTGCGATTGATAAATGTGCGGCGTGGGCGGTAATGAAAGGTGCCGAGCGTGATTCCAGAAGTCTCTCTGCGCCGAAGTGAATTCGCCAGAAGCGATCTCGAGTTTGCCAAGTGACAAAGAGTTGGCAAAACTTGGCATTGTCTCTCTCCGTCTTGGTGCCCATAAATAGTACAGCGTCATAAATTTTTATCTCCACCAGTCGGGCTCGTCCCAGCTTTTTCCCTCATCCATCACGACCATCTGGCCACGCATCAAATCATTATCTACTCTGCTAAACGAGTTGTTGTCGAAAATAAACACACACACGAGAAGGGGGACAAGACGGGTTTTTGCTAGAGGGAATTGCAATACAATTATTTGCAGATTTTTGCCATCAAACCGCGGTAGTAAAATTGTTATTAAAGAAAAGGATTATTGTTAAAAGATCTTAAAATCAGAAAAAAGATGTGATGAATTGGATTTTAATGCAGAGTTTACCTTTCTTCAAGCATATTTGCTTTGATTCCTGGTTATTATTATTATTATTTTTTTTTTTTTAGAATATATTCTAATTCTTAAAAAAAATTATGTCCAGGAATCAAATTAAATCACGAAAAGCCTTCCTTCAAATGCGCTAAAAAGAGTTAATTTAAATCTTGACCAAACGCACAAAAAGCCAGATTTCTTTTTTTTTCTCATTTTCGTGCCGTACTTTAAAAATTTATAAAATTAAGGCTAAAGTTATTCCGGTTATGCTCGCCATTGATTAATCATTTTTTTAATATCGAAAATATTGACGTTCGTGGTATCACAATGTAAGCAGAGATTTCCTTGTGGTGCCTGCAAACAAACTTCATTATATTAAACTTTAAATAAAATTTTATTACGCTGGTATTTTTATAATGATGTATATATTCTCTTTTTGCAAATTTGAGCAGCAAGTAATTATTGGAAACGTAAAAAAGTATTTTGATCCCACTTAAAAAAAAAAAAATGGTTAGGTCAACACTTATTACCTGGTTAAAATTTGTAAATATTGATTCAAATTGTCACAGCTCACCAAAAAAATCAGCAATCAACGCAAACTAATTCAAATTTGATGCAGTCTATTTGATTTACGTTGGGGCTGGGGAAGGACCAAATGTAAACTTGGCTGCATAAAATTATACGTCCCATTATGGCCCTATTCTTTTATTGTATTACAATTTCATGGGAATTAAAATTCTTGGTGTATTTTATTATGTTCGAAATGGAAAACCAGTTGCTTAATTTAGCTGTGCTTGAAAATTCTCCGCCTGCGTGTTTTTGTTAGCCGAAAACTTTGTTTAAACTCGGGTTTTCAATTTCCTAAGTAAATAAAAAACCGAGAACTAAAGTCTTGTTTATTTAACAACAGTAAAAAATGGACACAATAAAAATAATACTTCTCGCTTTCCAATTTTGCAATTATATTATATATTTTTCGATTGCGTGCACCTTTTGAATAACAGAGGATCTTTCAAAAGCAGTGCGGCTCGCCAGGAAAACACTCGCGTTTTTTTAGCCGGGCAAATAACAAGCAGGAGAGAGCAAAACAAACAAAATATAACAGCGCAAAAGTACATACGAGAGACGGCCCGAGGTTTAGTTTTGGAAATTCCGTCGGTGGCGAAAGGCCAAACATTATCATCAGAAAGCGAAATCAATCGGCGCGACCGGAAAACTCATTTCGCTCTTTGTGACAAAGGGAGCGTCGGACGTGAAAATTGCAAATAATCGAGCCGAGAATTAGCCGCCCCTGCCTTGGCGTGGGCGTCCCCCTGGCGCGATGCGGGTTGCGTTGCTGCCCTCGCTGTTTATCGACGGCCTCATAAAAGGTGCCAAATGGACGCCGGGATAAAGGATTAAAAATTGAAAGTCGGTTCTGCACCTGCAATAAAACGTGCCTCTCGTATCGACTTTCTTTGCTTTATTCTTCTTGCCTGGGTGAGAGACACGGGATGGATTTACTCAGGCCAAGGTGCGCCAAAGGAATGCA